GGCCACCAGGTCCCAGAGGTCCTTGCAATGCAGCCAGCTTCTCCAGCTTCGTGGCGACTGATCCGCCAGGGCCCGCAGCCAGTGTGGCCCCACGCCCAGAGAGCTTGCAAGGAGACCAGGCATGCTGGCAGTCCCAGAGACTGCAACAGACAGCGAGATCAGGGAGATGGGATGGAACCCTCAAAACTCAGAGGACGCGGAGAGTCTTTTCAGCCACACTTAATTTTTGGTAGTGATTTGCCAATTATATGGGAGGGAAGGGCATATAAAGTTCACATTTAATTCTAAAATGGCCAGCCCCATATGTTCGGGGGGGTTATATGGATACTCAGTCCTGTGCGAGCCTTTGCTAGTTACTGAGGCTCTAAGACCATCTCAGCCCACGGGAAAAAGTACACAAGAGGTCTTCTGAGACAGCTGTTCTCAAAGGAGGAATGCTGTGAAATCAGCATCATGCGGGAACTTGTTAGAAATGCTCATTTTCCGGCCTTGCCCCAGGCCGACGGAGGTAGAAACTGCGGGTGAAGCCCAGCAATTGGTGTTCTAACAAAATCTGGGTTTTAAACGATGTTCTAAGAGGAAAGTCAGTATGGAGTGAGTTTGGAGAGCCAAAGAAGGAAGATGTGATATGCCATTGAGGGAAGGATTTGGACAGGCTGGGAGGCAAAATTGGGAGTTAAAAGCAAGGAATAATTGAAGGCGCATTGGCAGCTTGACTCAGCACCGGATCTGTGAGCTGGGGGACAGGAAAGAAAGTTGGCTGTCACGGAGCCCAGTGGACAGCCTGGAAAACCAAGTTGGGAACAGGACATAAACGATGTGGGAACTGGGGGCTACTGAAACCTTGAGTGATGAGTGACTTGGTGACCACGGTCATGGAGGAAAATTAATGAATATGTAACACAGAAACAAGGGTGGGTTGTTTTGAGGAGAGGCTGCCTCTCCAAGAACGTGTTTCCCACGTCCAGCTTCTCCTGTGATTCTCCTACAAGTCCCAGATCCCTTTGGGCCTGAAAATGGATAGAAGGGGGATAGTTCCCTGGTCCTAGTCTGTGTACAGATACAAGACATACTTTTGGAGGCCTGGCACCCTTTGTTAACTGGGCAGCTCTTTCTTAAAGAGTTCAGAAGAGGAACCTCCCATCTGAGGGGTCATCTTGAGAGAACAGGGTTTGGAGCCATGCAAGAACACAATAGATCATGGCAGAGAAGGGATTCTTTGCTCTACAGGAACCAGCCAAGAGGTTTAAGAATGACACTTCCCGAGAAGCCATTGCCAGGAGTTGAATATATCATGTCTGGAGAGAGACCAGAGTCCCAAGACCTGGGTTTTGGGAGACTATTTCAATCCCTCCTTCTGCCACAAGGCCCTGGGAAGGAAAGCCCCCTAAGTTCCAATTGTCTCTTCTGCAAAATAAGAAGCATGGTCTCCTCGGCTTCCAAGGGCCCCTTCAGCCCTGGTAACCGGAGGGAGTAGAGGATACAGCTTTAAGGGATTACAGCAGTAATTGCAGAGAGACCCAAACAGACCCTTGGGTAGAAGCCACGTCATTGTTTGCTGGGACGGAGAAGGTAAAGACCTGAGTCCTGCATGAACTGGCCTGAACCCAGCCTCAGTCATAGCAAGTGGCAGCACTGTGCTCTCTGAGCCCTTGACTTCCAACCTCAGGCCTTACAGATGCAGACCTGAGTCTTTGCTGTCCTCTACTCTCCCAGCTCCTTGCTCATCCTCTCTGCCCAGCCCATCTTCTCTCTGATGTCCCTCACTTCCTGAGGACAGGAACATAGGCATTGGGATATGAACCCACAACCCTCACACCAGGCTCAGGTCAGCCTTTGTCTCCTCAGTTCCATCTCTGCCTGGGGGATCTGAACTTGGAGCCTTCTGCCTCTTCGTTCTCTCCCTCGGATGAATTATCAGCCCGTTTCTCCAGTCTCCAAGCTTCTGTGTGCCGTCTTCTTGTCGTGTCAAGAAAGGCAGTGGAGTTCTTAATGTCTTGTCTACGTGTTGGGGAGGTGGTGGGCAAATATAAAGTAGATGACATCTCCCTCCTTTATTCCATTCGGCCATTTCTCTCCCTAGTGCCCATGCTACTCCTCCTTTTTCTGAGACAGTCAGGGCTGACATGACTAGTCAGGATGCATGGGGAACGGGGACCTAGGAAGCTAGGTCAGAAGGCTGAAAGGGAAAGTCAGCCAGGAAGCCCAACTTCTAAATCCTGTCCCACAGCCACAGGGACACGAACGTCCTTTCTTCCTGGAACGCTTTTATTCAGAATTCAGAACCAGGAATCGTCAATTCTCTTCATTTCTGCCCATTTGCTCCTAAAGGCCTTCCTGCCACTTGCCTTCAATAACTGATCTCTAAAATAGGACCCATGTGTCCTGGCTTTGACCTCTCCTGGGGATAGCAGCAGAGATGGGGACCCCCAAGATGAGCTTTCAAGCTAACAGGTTTTATAACAGGGGTTGGCAACTTTATGAAAATGGGGTGCCCTTATGTGGACTCACTTTCAGGAACTTTGATGAATCTCCTAAATGGGCAGTAACCACTGGCTCCATTGATCTTCCTTCAGTTCTTGAGTCAATCTCCTCTTTCTAAGTGCTACATAAATAGAGGTCGTTTGAACAGTGACCCAACAGCAGTTGTGCAGGATGGTACCAAAGAGATTCACACAGAGGGTGCCCTCTGCAAAAAGTTGAATTTCCCCTTAATTCCAAGGGCACGATCTCAGATAGTTCTGGAAGTCAGTCTCCAAGCCTTCAGGAATATAATGGGATCCAAGTCACCTCTGCTGGCCTGAGCGCTTACATTCTTTTTAGTGGCCATTCCAGACACCTCCTTCCTTTCCTTAGTTTGAGGATACACCTAATAGTGTAAAGACTGCCCACCAAAGTGGACCCCTCCCCTCCCCACCTTGCAGGCATCTCGAGTTGGGGGCATCTCATCTATTTTGGTTCTGCTACTGGTTAGCAGTATGTTTAGCTGAATGGGGACATTAGCTTCTTGTTTCACAATGACTAGAGAGAAGCATCTCTAGCAAGGAATGTCCTACCAGGCTATGCCTCTGACCATCACTGGCCGGCTTTAAAAAGCAGCTGAGAATGAAGGAAACACCATTGATTAAGGATGCTTAAAAGATGGACAAGTAGACAAAACTGATTTTCTTTTTAAAGTAACTAGCTGAGGGGCGCCTGGGTGGCTCAGTCGGTTAAGCGTCCGACTTTCGCTTAGGTCATGATCTCGCGGTTCGTGGGTTCGAGCCCCGCGTCGGGCTCTGTGCTGACTGCCAGCTCGGAGCCTGGAGCCTGTTTCAGTCTGTGACTCCCTCTCTCTCTGACCCTCCCCTGCTCACGCTGTCTCTCTCTCTCTCTCTCCTAGAAATAAATAAAACATTTAAAAATAAATAAATAAAAATAAAATAAAATAACTAGCTGAAAAGGGCGCCGGGGTGGCTCAGTCAGTCAAGTGTCCGACTTTGGCTTAGGTCATGATCTCATGGTTCATGGGTTCGAGCCCCACACTGGGATGTGCTGACAGCGTAGGGCCTGGAGCCTGCTTCAGACTCTGTGTCTCCCTAACTCTCTGCCTCCCCCACTCATGCTCTCTCTCTCTCTCTCGAAAATAAACATTAATAAATGTTTAAAAACATTTTAAAATGATCAAAATCACTAGCTGAAAGACAAACGAAGAATGTTCCAAACGTTTGTGGAATGCCCACTGTGGCCCATCTCATTTAACCCTCACAGCAGCCCTGAGAGTACGTAATTATTATCTCCATTTCACAAACGTGAAAACAGCCTCAGAGAGGTCTTTTGAGGGAAAAACATCTCTGGAGAAATCTCTTCCAAACAAGTGACTGTTTGCCATCTCCGGGTGATTTGGAACAATGACGTTCTGGTTAATGTTTAATATGAAACCACGTGCCATTTCATTAAAAAGTAAAATGTTGACAGTAAACTATAATAAAAAAAGTAAAATGTTATGAAATAATAAGTATGTAGAAGCCTCAGCCAACATCTGAGCCTGGGATCTGACATAGCTACAACCCCCGTCTTCCAACTTCCCTGCCCTCCCCTGACATCACATGCTCTTCTCAGGAGATAATGCCTGAGGCTGATGGGGAAGGAAGGGAAACGGAAACCAGGCTCCACCCGACGTCGCTCTCACTGGGGCCATCACTCTGCGCCGCAGGCCTTACTTTGCTCGGACGCTTCTTCCAGGTACCCAATGTGCACTAAGGCTATAAAGCCATCGAGGCTCACCCTGCCGTTCTCAGTAAATCACTTTAGAAATGTTCTGGACTTTCCCGCACAGCAACCAAAGTGCATGGGGTTGTGGCTGAGCAGCCCGAAAAATGGGCTTCCCTTTAGGCCCTGGAGCAGCGTGGCACCAATTTGAAAGCTTCTAGTCCACAGAGTGAAAAGTCAAAAAAAAAAAAGGTCATTTACCACTGCCCTGGGCTTTCCACAGAGACAAATTCATAGGTGAGGGTCCAGACCGCCTCCTTCATCATTTCATCCTATACACCTCAGTGTGGAGGGGGCCAGCAGGAGAGAGACCATGCGCTCGCAAGGTCCCTAGGCCTGTGCTGGCCTTCGGACCTTCACCTGCTGCTTGGAATTCCTGGACAGAAAACACCGCAGTAGGGCTCAGTGGGGAGGCTGCTGGGATGGGGGCGCGCCCCCCAGGGCAAACACCAAATGCTCTCTTCCTGTTGCAGAATACAGTTCCCTCAGCCCTGGGCTTGGCTGTTCCTGTCACCAGAACACTAGCCATAGAAACTCTCTCCAGCTTAGCAACTTGGTCTGAGCTCCCTTCGGAGGACCCAAACACGGTATTTTCCACCTCTCCTGAGAAAAAATGAGAGTAGGACCCAAGACCACTCATGTATTCGCTGAGCCCCTGATACTTGCAGAATTGAGTTCACAGAGGGGTGGGGAGGCTGACTAACCAGACAGAGAGACAGGAATAGATAACAATAGATATTTGACAGCTCTTATTTCCACTCTTTTATTTATCAAGTACTCATTGTGTATCGGTCTTGTGCTAGGCACTGAGGACACAATGTTGAACGAGAGAAACCGCTTAGATTCCTTTCTGTGAAGGACGGCGTGTACCCCTCCGAAATTTCCCGTCAATGACAACTTCTTATCACTGGTGCCTCAGAGTTTTATACCCTTTCATCACCTCTAGGGTCAAGATCCACACGGTGGTTTTCTTCAGACTGGAGACCCTGGACAGGATTCCCTTCTCCTGTGGAGTTTCTGGTGCCTGAGGAGGCTTGAACGCCTACTAAAGTTCCTCCTGCATACACTGCAAGTATACGGCTGCTCCCCTGTGTGGGTTCTCTGGTGTTTAATGAGGTGAGAGTTCTGGATGAATCTTTTTCCGCATTCATAACATTTGAAGGGCTTCTCTCCTGTGTGAATTCTTAGGTGTGTGTGTAGATTCGTATTGTGACTGAAGCTTTTTCCACACCAGGAGCATCTGTATGGTTTTATTCCCTGGTGTGCCATTAAGTGCTTATTAAGATCCGAACTCCATCTAAACCTCTTATCACACTGCTGGCATTTATAGGGTTTCTCTTCAGTGTGAATTCTCTGGTGCTTAATAAGGTCAGAGCTAACTCTGAAGCTTTTCTCACATTCCTGACACTTAAAAGGTTTCTCTCCTGCGTGGCCTTTCCCGTGAAGATCCTTATGTTTTGAGAGCTCTTGTTTACACGTTGAGAGTTTCTTTCTTTTCCTCCCTAGAAAAGCTCGATGCCGTTTCCGCACCCTGCGCGTGCCACCATGATTTTCTTTGCCTGTTGTTTTCTGGGCAGCTTTCATTCTGGCCTTTCTTGACACCTTGCATCCTGGTGCTTGTATTTCTAATGTAGAAATAGATACAGGTTGGTCATTTCCGGTGTCATTTTTGAGCTTTAACCCTGTCGGAATAAACAGAAGAGTCAGCCGTCTGCGTCCCAGAACAAGAAAACTAGAGGAATGGAGAGAAAAATCAATGCTGATTGCTTTTTAAACAACACAGGAACAAGTGATTTCTGATCCGATATGGACAAACGGCATAGATGCATTTCCTCCGGATCCTCCTTGCTGAGCACAATAACAAACCGATTAAAGAACTCAGGCCACAACCAACAGACAGTTCTAGAGATGGTAAAGAGAAAGCAAAAGGGCTTGGGATCTCAGGACTAGCAGAATAACTCAGCAAACTTACATCCCTACACCCACCAGAAGAAGGCAACCCTGATCTAGAGTTTTCCAGCCCTCAACCTAGCAACAGAAGGCAGCCTGGATAGGCTTACCCCACCCCCCGCACCAGTCTGAATGGGGGGGGGGCCTGCCAACATCAGCACCCCAGCTAGGAGACTCCAAAGTGGGCAGGTGGACCTAGCAAGGGGTGCCCAGCCATGGTGGCCTGGCCCAGGGAGCCTCTTCATTCCTGAGGGTCTGAGATCCCCTTTCCCGCAGAGATGCACTCTAGCCACTAACTTACCCGCAGAGATGCACTCTAGCCACTAACTAACTACCTGCCTTACCCGCAGACTGCACCGGCAGGGCATACGGGAGCCCTGGTGGTAACGTATAAGCCAAGGAAACCACAGTAACACCAGGAAGCCTCTGAAAATTAAACTGTCACCGAGGCATAACCCACAGAAATAGGAAAGAACCTATGTGCTAAACTCTAATAGGGGGACTGCTCATTAAATTCAAATATTTAGGGGCATCTGGGTGGCTTAGTCAGTTAAGCACCAACTTCGGCTCAGGTCATGATCTCACAGTTCGTGAGTTCAAGCCCCGTGTCGGGCTCTGTGCTGACAGCTCGGAGCCTGGAGCCTGCTTTGGATTCTGTGTCTCCCTCTCTCTCTGCTCCTCCCCCACTCATGCTCTGTCTCTCTCTCTCGCTCAAAAATAATAAAAAAAAATTTTTAAAACAAATATTTAACTAGGACCCAGACTCTCCTCACGTAACGAACAAAATGATCAGGATACAATAAAAAATCACCTACTGGAGCAAGAACCAAAACAAACATCACTACTTGGGTGAGAAAGGGCAACCTGATAAAAATGGAATCAGACCAGAAATTAGAAACAGAAAGGCAAGAGGAAAAATCTAAAAATCTGTGGGAATGAAATAATATACTTCTGAAAACTCCACGGTTCAAAGAGAAAGTCTCCAAGAAAATTTAAAATGACACAGTCAAATGAAAATGAAATTATAATATATCAAAATATGTGGTGCTCAGAGGGAAAGGCCCAGCCCTAAGCCCTTCCAACACTAATGGAGAAAGGTCTCAAATCAATACTCTAGGTTTCCACCTCAATAAACCAGAGAAAAAAGGAAAATAAACCCAAAGCAAGCTGATAAAAGGAAATAATAAAGATCAGAGCAAAAGTCACCACCGAAGAGCTTGTTCTTCAAAGAAATTAATAAAATTGGAAAACCTCTATCACAACCGACAACAATAAAAGGAGAGAAAACCCAAATTGCCAATATCAGGAAGGAAATCGGATCTATGATTACACATTCTGAGGCAACTAAGACGATGGTAAGGAATACTATAAACAGCCTTATGTTCATGACTTTTAAAAGTTAGGAAAAATGAACCAATTCCTCAAAACCACAAACTAAATCAACCAACATGAAATGCATCATCCGAAAAGCACTATCACCATTACACAAACCAAATTTAAAATTTTTTGGGTTTTTTTTTAATGTTTTATTTATTTCTGAGAGAGACAGCGTGAGCAGGGGAGGGTCAGAGAGAGAGGGAGACACAGGATCTGAAACAGGCTCCAGGCTCTGAGCTGTCAGCACAGACCCCAACACAGGGCTCGAACCCACGAACCGTGAGATCATGACCTGAGCCGAAGTCGGACACTTAACCGCCTGAGCCACCCAGGCACCCCCCAAATTCGTAGTTTATTTTTTTCCAAATTCATAGTTTAAATGCTTCTCCCCAAAATCCAAGTCCATATGGTGTTACTGGAGGAGTCTACCAAATATTTCTAGAATTAAAACCAATGTTATACAATCTCTTCCAGAAAAGAAGAGGAAATACTACCCAACTCGTTTTACAAGACCAGTATTACCCTGACAGCAGAGTCATATAAAGCAGTGCTAAAAAAGAACCTACAGGCTAACATCCCCTGTGAACTTTGATGCAAAAATCCTAAAGAAAATACTAGCAAACTGAATACAAAAATATGTAAGAATTATACACCACGGTCAAGAAGGATTTGTTGCAAGTATGCAAAGCACGTTCAACATTTGAAATCAATCAGCATAACATACCATACCAGCAAGCTTTTAACGATCACTCCTATCAACGGACACAGAAAAGTCCATGACAAATCCCACATCCATTCATGATAAAAACACTCAGTCAGGAATTGTATCGACTTGACAAAAGAGTAGAAACAACAAAAAGCCACTAACAGTCATGGGAAACCATGCTAACGTGAACAGGAATGGTGAAAGACTTAACGTTTCCATGATAAGACTGGGAACAAGGCAAGGATGTCTGCTCTTCCCACTCTTATTCAACAGAGCAGGAGGCTGGAGCTACTGCAGTTAAGGCAAGAAAAAGCAATTAAAAGACACTGCAGATAATGTGATTTGGCAGCATAAAAATCTCAAGGAATCTACCAAATAACTCTTAAAAAAAGTAAGTTAGTAGGGTCACAATATAAGACCAAAATACAAAATCAGGGGCCTCCCTATATAAAGACAGTGAAAGAAACCCAAATTAAAAACAAGCCCATTTGAGAGGCGCCTGGGTGGCTCAGTCGGTTGGGCAGCTGACTTCGGCTCAGGTCGTGATCTCACGGTTCGTGGGTTCGAGCCCCGCGTCAGGCTCTGTGCTGACAGCTAGCTCAGAGACCAGAGCCTGTTTCAGATTCTGTGTCTCCCTCTCTCTCTGACCCTCCCCTGCTCACACTGTCTCTCTCTCTCTCTCAGAAATAAATTTAAAAAACGCTTAAAAAATTTAAACAAAAAACAAGACCATTTGCAAATGCTCCACTGAAAATGAAATGCTTTGGCACATACCACACAAAACACGCACAGGATCTGTGCCCTGAAAATTACCAACAGTTGATGAACAAAATCAAAGACCTAAATAAATAGAGACACACTATGTTCATTGATCAAAGAAAAAATCAACATAGTAAAGATATCAATCCTCCTCAAACGAATACATAGGTTTCATGCAATTTGTAGCAAAATCCCAACAGTTTCTTATAGACATAGATAAGCTTACTCTGAAATTTACATGGAAAGGCATAGGCCCTCACAGGGCTAAAATTTTATTTTACCAACAAGAATAAAGTGGGAAGAATCCGTCTAATTGACAGATATTAAGTCTTTTATATTATATAGCTACAGTTAGTACAATATTGGCAGAGGGACAGATGAAGGGCTCAGTGGAACAGAACAGATGCATACAAATATACCCAACTTTTCTTTGAGAAAAGTGCAGACAGAATTCAGTGGAGGAAGGATGGACTTTTCAACTGATGGGGCTGAAGCAACTGGCCCTCCAACCTCCTCCTAACCATCACACCTTATCTAATAATTAACCCAAAATGTATCATGGACTGAAATGTAAAACTATAAAACTTTTAGGAAAAAAAAACAGGAGAACATTTTAAGGATCTAGGGTTAGTCAGAGTTCTAGCTTTGACACCAAAATACAATGTATAAAAGGAAACAATGAGAAATCGGTCCTCATGGAGAGCCTGGTTGGCTTGGTTGGTGGATCGTGTGACTGTCGATCGCAAGGCCATGAGTTAGAGCCCCACGCTGGGTGGAGAGAGTACTTAAACAAATAAAAACATCATTTAAAAAATTGGTCCTCATCAGGGCACGTAGGTGGCTCAGTCGGTTAAGCGTCCGACTTCAGTTCAGGTCATGATCTCAAGGTCCGTGGGTTCGAGCCCCACATCGGACTCCATACTGACAGCTCAGAGCCTGGAACCTGTTTCAGGGAGACATGGCTGTCATGGCTGTCGTCGGGCTCTATTTTGAATGACCTGGATATGCCTTTCCTTTCCCCCACACCGTCGAGACCCGGGCAGCTACCGGAACGCTGGGCCTCTCCCACAGGAGAGAATTTTCCATAAACTGCAGCCAGATTACTCAACTCCCACACAGAGGAAAGAAAGAATCTTTACCTAGAGAGATGACAGTCTCATAGTTTTCCTGCATTACATCATTGTAAAGCATCTTCTGAGAAGGGCCCAGCAATTTCCATTCTTCCTCAGAAAAAGACACAGCCACATCTTCAAACGTCAACAAGCTCTAGAGAAAAGAATGGGTTTTGGTTCAGAACTTGCCATTCTAGAGGCCGCCCTTTCACTCTGAATTAATTACACAGCGGGCCAGTCACCGAAGAAGAGTATTAAGATTTAGGGGGAAAAGGTGAGACGGCAGGAAAGGAAAGAGCCAGAGATCAGTAAACAGCATGGGAAGGGCCCGGTCCCTACCGTGCCGAGCCTAGTTGCCTAGAGGTGAACATCCGGGGCTAGCATGCCTCAGAGCACCCGCTGAGCACTGTGGGTCACGGGCAGCAGAGAAAAGCCAGACAAGGCCACGTTCAGGCTGCCTGAGAAAGCTGGAAAGTACAGCTCACCTGGAACTCAGGCAAGGTGAGCTCAGATGCCTTCTTCCAGGTTGGGGTGCTCTTCTGCTCAGAAAAGGCTAGAATCTGTTGAGCAGGCAGAGCTGTGGATGGAAAAGAGCCAGAGAACATCTCTTTTATGTTTACAAATACCCTCAGTTGATTTCTCAACCACAGAACGTCAGGAGTCCTTCAGTAAAGGGTGTGTGTGGTGCCACAGTGGCCTTCTCATTTTAAATAAGAACCAAATACCACCCTCCACCCCCGCTCCAAAGAACCGGTTCCCCCGTTGACTGTTTCCCCAGATTTCATCAAAGAAATTAATAAAAGGAAATCCATTATTTTTCTCCTCTCATAAAATAAACTGCTTACTGGGGTGGGCGAGAATCGGAGGCAGCTGAAAAGGAAAGATTTAGATCCTCCAGTGCAGGTGGTGTGGTTCTTATTATTTTTTCCCGGTGCACAATTCTCTCCCCATTCTGTCATGACCACCCATTTCTGATCTCAGTTTCTTCCCTGACATAAGAAGTATAGGATGATCCCACCTGTCCCTGTTTCGTCTTCTCTCCTCTCAAATTTCTAAGGAGCAAGGTCCATGTGTGAATACCAGGGTCCTACGGTTTGGGCGTTTCTGTACCCCAGGCTGGCCCTCACCTTCACCCACCGTTAGCCTACCGCACTCCCACTTGAGAGACATCCGAACAGCTGGCATGGCTGGGCACCTGGACAATTCCCATGACATTCCAGCCGGACCAGTTACTATCGCAGCGCCCAGGAGAAGAGAATTATCATGAAGCTCCTCACCTCTTTCATATACAGGCTGGGTTTCTGTGTGAGTATTCCAGCCCAGCTGTTCCTGCAGTACCTGGTATGTATTCCAACATTCTTTCTGGAACACACCCATTGGCTGGGGCTCTGCTGGCTTCCACTTAAAGCCTGGGGCCACTGCTGTTCCTCCCAAGAGCACTGCCTCCTTTCCCAGCTCATGGGCTGTGACCTAGAAATAATCCCCATCCTCATTAGCACGGAACTTACTTTTGGTTTGGGGGGTGGTGGTGGAGGGATGAGCAAGAGGAGAGCCCGGATGCAGCAAAGGTGCGACACTCAGGGAAGCAATAAAAAACCTAAAGCGATAACGCGCCGCCATTGCCTCACAAAGAACCATATCCATCTTCCGGGGAAATGAGTATAAAGTGAAGAGCTGTGACTGCTGCCGGGGCCTCCACCCCTGTACGTGGCCACAGCTCAGGCCACCAGCAGGGTGGGGACAGGCTGCCTTCACAGGCTGGCTTTCTAGACTTGGACCCTTGCCTCGGGGCACGTCTATCTTCTCAGCTTTCTCTAAATAAAAATGAGTTGAATAAGAAAAGAGATTCTCAGTCAGATTTTCCAGTCCGCTCAAGGCCAGGGAAGGACTTCAGGGAGAAAGGGGAGGCAGGAGAGGAAAACCTGGGGGGAAATTGGGGCTCTAACCTCCCTCCATATGATCTAGTTGTAGTAAGACACCAAAAATATACCCTGCCCTGCTTCTCAAGCTGGGCTCCTGAGGAAAGGAAGGGCGTCGCCATCTCCCAAGGGCACAGCTGGTCCCCCCCCCCAGCAAGGCCTTAGGCAGAGCCCTAAGGGAGAGCAATGGAGGCTCTTTTCTTCTGGCCCAGACCCCAGAGATATCTGCACCCACCCACTGGGAGGGCACTACCCCTCAGCACCCTGACTGTCCGCTCCCCTTGGCATTTTCCTTTTCTTTTTTTTTTTTTTTTTTTTTGTCATTTTTCTTCTTTCTGTATCCTTGTTTCACTTTTTTCTTTCCATTTCTCCTCTTCCTTCACAGTCTCCCCAGAGCTGTTTGATTTATACTTGTATCAGCCACCCTCTCTCACCTTTGATCTCTACGGGCTGGGCTGTGCGTTTTTTCGTTTTTTCCCCCAGATGTTTCCTCCTTTGCTAACTCGGTCTTGCCTTTTATTTCTCTGTCTCTAAGGACTCGAGTCCTCTCTCCCTGGCCACACCAGACTAGGCCCGCCACCTCTAGTCCACCCCGGCCCGAAAGAGGGCAAAGGCAATTTTTTTTCCTAAGGCCAAGAAAGATAAGCCAGAACTCATTCCCCGATTAAGACCCTCCATCACCCCCCCCCCGCCCCGTATATGCACCTTTACCCTGTTTCACTGTACATGTACGGAATCTTCTCACCTCATCCCTAATTCCACCGAGTTCTCTCTGAAAGCGATCTACCAGCGCCACGGCCTCTTTGATGCTCTGTGGACGATACTTCTGCACCCAGTTTTGGGTGCCCCTGGGCAGAATGGTCAGGAACTGCTCTAGCACCAGCAGTTCCAAGATCTGCTCCTTCGAGTGGATCTCCGGCCTCAGCCACTGGTGGCACAATTCCTGAAGCTGGCTGACCGCCTCATGCGGTCCCGGTGCTTCGTGATAATAGAAGCTCCGGAAGTGCTGCCGGGCGCTCTCGGGGCCAAGACCGTCCATCTGGGGGCCAGACTGCTTCCTGTCGCTGGAGCTCCCTTTCCCGGACTCCTCGGTCTCCCAGAAAGCCTCCACGTGGGGGGACGAGCGCGCCTCCACCTCCAGATGTCTCATCAGCATCTGCTCTAGGAGCAGTTTAACTCCTATGTGTGACATCCCCCCTGGGTGCCTTGGACAAGCGAGGCCTTGTCAGGTCCGGTATCAAGCCAAGTGGATCTTCTCCTCAAGGGCACTGAGGCAGGGGAGAAAAAAACGCTCACGTCAAGCAGAAAGGCACGTGCCACACACTGACTTGCTAGTTATCGTTCTCAGAGAAGAATGAACAGAAAAGAACCAGTCCGATCTCCCCCTTTAAAACCAGCCGCCAGGTATGAGGACACTCGTGATTACAGATTACTTCAGGACATGCACTTCCCTCTTTTTCTTTGTTGCTCGGCTTTAACACAAAGCAAGGGTCAGAAAAGACACATGGCAATGGATAACTTTCCTTTTTTAAAAAAATTTTAATGTCTATTTATTTTTGAGAGAGAGAGAGAGTGCGCAACCAGAGGAGGGGCAGAGAGAGAGGGAGGAGACACAGAATCCGAAGCAGGCTCCAGGCTGAGCTGTCAGCGCAGAGCCAGACGTGGGGCTCAAACCCACGAACTGCGAGATCATGACCTGAGCTCAACTGACTGAGCCACCCAGGAACCCCGATAACTTTCCTTTTTTTTTTTTCTTAAAAAGGTTGAGGAAAGGCTGGTGGCTGAAAAACTGGCACCCACTCCCCAAAAGGAGCTTTGACAGTAGCGAATATTTAATCTGTGTGCTTCCTCATCTTCGCAACTAGGGCATCTCCGAGTTTCTCTAAATCTTAACAAATCATCGCAAGCTTTTGTCTTTCGTTAGGTGGAAACAACTTCTATGCCCCTGCATCCTCTTATGAAGACTGAAACCTTTCCTTCATGAGACAGTTAATATTCTCTTTCCCACTGTATTAACACTGGCAGGAGAACTGAAGAAAGTAGTAAAGCATTTGGGGGGGAGGGGAATAACCTCATTCCTCTTGGCAAATATCCCCCAATTGAGCACCCAGATAACAACACCTTGGGGGATACTTTTTGGGCGGACTTAAAGGCACTGTGCAGATTTGTACCTGTGTGTTCGGTTTTCTTTTGCTTTCTTTCCTGGAAAGACAAGTTGACCCCGCTGACCAAATACAACGTCGATTTGTAAAAATGGAAGAATAAAAGGGTGTTGATTATGGTTCTTCCCAGACAGAAGGGCCCTAGTTAAGGTAGCCCTTCTCTAGACTTTACATTTTCTCAGGGTCAGGGGCGTAGAGATCTCTAACTAGGGCAAAGGGTGGCCTTGGGAGCCTGATTGTCCCCAGGGTATTCCAGCAGAAGCGACAACAAAAGTTCTTTTGAGGATGCCACGGGTATTCAAAGAAAACCTTGGTTCCCTGCTGCCTATACAGGCTCAGAAGATACGGGGCGCCTCCTCCATCTAATCTCTATGTCACTAGAAGTTAACGTCTTAGAGGCCGAAATGTCACTTCCTCCTGGGACCGACCCGCCAGCCGGCGGAAACGCGGAAGTTTCGCCCAGGGCGGCGGGAGACACTGCTGCACCCCCGCCCCCCATCCCGCCACGAACCCGAGACGCCCACGCGCCCGACTGCAAACGCGCCCCCGAGCGCTCCGCAGGCAGCTGGCCCCCAAAGGCGCCCGGGGAGCATCCCCGGGTCGCACGCGCCCCCGGAGGACAAAGAGGCTGCTTGCGGAGGCCCCGCCGGGCAGGGAGCGCACCGCGCGCACCGCGGGGGGCAGCCGGCCCCTCCCCTGCCCGTCGCCGGGGGGCCGCCGCCGGCACGTGCCGCCCCGCAGCGCTGGGAGCGCGCCCGGCCCAATCCCGGGGACGCCGCGGCTTCTCCCTTACCTCCGCCCGGCGCCGGCTTCCGCGGACGCCACTTCCCTCTCCCTCGGCTTGGCTGCGACGTCGACAGGCCCCCCGCCGCCCCAGGGGAGGAAGCGCCCGGTTCCCGCGCCTCTCCGGGCCTGGCGAGTGGAGCTCCGAGGTCCAGAGCGCGGGGCCCTGGGAAGGCCGGTCCCCCACTTGATCCCTCTAGCTTCCTGACACGGTACCCCGACTCGCCATTTTGGGGTGTGTGGACCTGGCCCCACCGGAAAAGAAAGCATGCGCTTCCGGTGGCTTTGTGACAGCCACGCCCAGCCCTCGCCCTCTCTCTACCTGGGGCGCGCGGACGCAGGCGGGAGGGAACCCTGCCGCTGGTCCTTCCCATCGGGGAGGAGCCTACCTTCTGCTCCTGCTCAGACCCGGGCGCGAACACGCCTTCCCCAGGCCCGCTGGAAGCGTAGGGGAGCCCCGGAAGCAGCTCGTCGACTGCGAGCCACGTAGCCCACTGACTACGGTGCCGCGATCTGGTGGCCCTGTCTTGCTAAGTGCAGATCACGTGTGGCCTCATTCCAGTGGCCGGCAGCCCTTTCTACTAGAAGTTCCCCAGTGAGGGCCACCGCCCCGAAAGTCGTCCCTAGACGTGTCCTGGGCCTCCTGAGATGTAGGACATGACGTCCTCAGGGTCACATCGATTGCCAGTGGCAGATTTTAGACAAGAATTCAGGTCTCCCTACTTCATCTTATGCTTTTTCTACTGCATTTGCTTCCTTATAAGACAGGAGCCTTGTTTCATCGTCTATCTCCTGTAATGTTCAGCATAGTCCTCCGGATAAGTCATCTTTCTAAGAATCTGCGTATCTCAGGTGGTCAGTATCCAAATTATCAGTGTTTACTAGTGTTGCGCCGTTTGGACGAAAATTGTCACTATGAACCAATAGAGGAGAAACTGTAGCTCAGTGGGGCAGAAAGTGACATCTTTTGAAAGTCAGTGCCAGTAACTACTCCCGCAGGCAAACAAGAGACCGGCATGCCTAGGAGAAAAATAACACCTATTTGAGTTTTTACAATGCAAAAGCAGATGAGACTCAAGCTAAAGTCGATCCTGATTTGAAAAACAAAGCTGCCCAAAAGCAGCACTCTAGCACTGTGCTAGAGGACACAGTGCATTATCTGTGATATATAACCCTAGTAAATATGTTCGCCTCCCCACAGAAGCCGTTTCAGAATGGTTCTCTCAAAGCTATGTACCTGAAGTCAGGCATTTTCAACCTAACCTCTTTTGACAATGAAGAAGTCAAGGCATTATTACTTCTGAACAATTCCTGGGCTTACCCTTCAATTAAATCACTCACCAACCTATGGGGGTAGTTAGCTAAAAGGCATTTTCTTTTTCTTTCTTTGCTTTTTTAAATTGTAAGTTTTTAAACCTTGTGGAGTTTATATATTAATCTGCACAAAATTATTCCTCGTAATTATCTTCAATAGAAATTATCTTTAGATTAACAGCCATTTAGAATGATATAAAAATAAGTATAACGCTCTCTTCAACCTACTATGGTTTGTACACTTCAAAGAAAAAATCTTTTTTTTTCAATATTTTTATTTATTTCTAGGAGAGAGAGAGACAGCGTGAGCATGGGGGGCAGAGAGAGAGGGAGACACAGACTCTGAAACAGGCTCCAGGCTCTGAGCTGGCAGTCAGCACAGAGCCCGACGCGGGGCTCGAACCCACGAACCGCGAGATCATGACCTAAGCGAAAGTCGGACGCTTAACCGACTAAGCCACCCAGGCGCCCCGAAAAAATCTTTTTTTTAAAGGACTGTAAGGGTGCCTGGGTGGCTCAGTTGGGTAAGGGTCCGACTTTAGCTCAGGTTATGATCTCACGGGTCAGTTTGTGGGTTTGAGCCCTGCATCGGGCTCTGTGCTGACAGCTCAGAGCCTGGAGCCTGCTTGGGATTCTGTCTCCCTCTCTCTCTGTTCCCCACCTTCCCCCCCTCGAGCTCTGTCTCTGTCTCTCCGAATAAATACATGTTAAAAAAATAAAAATAAATAAAAGGACTATAGACTCCAGGAAGACAATTTGTAATTTACTTAAAACAAATTTCACCATATATTGTTAATATTATTAATAAGAAAACCATACATTGAGCCATGTTCTCTTATAAAACTGCAAAATTAAAGTTTTCTAATTAAACCCATGACACCTAGATGCCATTTATAGTAAAATTTTGGCCAATATGTTTGAAACACTAAAAGAGAAACTATGTAAAATCTACAGGGCATTTTCCTTCCTTTAAACACTTCAACCTTGATTCACCCAAGGAATCAAGATATGATCCTGAACTGCAAACGACTTTATAGGTGGAAACAACTTGAAGAAAGTCATAATTTTGAGTAAGATTACAATGAGCAGGACAAGGAAAAGGAGTTTCCAGAATTAAAATCCACAGCACAAAAATGTGATTTTTAACTGGGCCAAGAGCTGGGATGGAGTAAAACAAATAACTATAGCAGCTTCCTAGGAAATCTTTACAGAAAGGAAACTATGATCTGAAAGGTATTGAAGAGGACAGTCATAGATAAATACTTGAGAAATATGGAGAAGTAGAAGCCAACTTGGAAAAAGATGGAATGTGGCTAAATGAGATTGAAGACGATGAAGGCAGTTGTCCAGAAAAGAGAGTCTGTTGAAGAACAGACTGCAGAATTTAAAATATCTACCAAAAAACAGTGGACTACCTCCTTGATTTTGTTGATACCACAAATGAATTCCAAAGGTTTCACTTTGTGCTGAAGGAGATGCAACAAGTAGTAAAACAAAAAACAAAACAAAAACAAAGAAACAAAACAGTTGTGGGGTATCTGGGTGGCTCAGTCTGTTGAGCGTCCAACTCTTGATTTTGGCTCAGGTCATGATCCCAGGGTTGTGGGATTGAGGCCTGAGTCAGGCTCTGTGCTGAGTGTGGAGCCTGCTTGAGATACTCTGTCTGTCTGTCTCTCCTTTTTCTCCTCTGCCCCGCTTTCACACACACACACACACACACACACACACACACACTCTCTCTCTCTCTCTCTCTCTCTCTCTCTCTCTCCTCTATCTCTCAAAAAACAAAATAAATCTTTTTAAAAAATGGTTGCAGAGTAGATACCATTGTAAAATTGGTAACTTTTGAAACTGAGGCCTGACAATATTAATGAGCTAGTAAACGTGACTTAGAATTCTGGTTCTAGTAATTAGATTTTTTAACAGCTTTATTGTGATATAATTCACAAATTATACAATTTGCCCATTAAAAATATGCTAAAAGTCAGTAGTGTTTAGTATATTCATAGAGTTGTACCCCCAACATGGCAAGTGATTACAGAATGTTTACATCCCCCCAAAAGAAACACCAAACCCTTAACCTATAACTCATTTCTTGTAATTCCCTTCCACCAACCTGAGCATCCAGTGATCTATTTTCTGTCTGTATACATTTACCTGTTCTGGATGTTTCCTACGGATGGAATCATGCAACATGGGACCTTTTGTGTCTAGCTTCATTCATGAAGCCTGATTCATCCATTTTGTAGCAAATATCGGTAACTTTGTTGTATTTTATTGTCGGGTGATTTTTGTACAGATATACTATACCATTGTACGGATATATCACATGGTATGAATATATACACTGAAGTGGTTAGGAAAAAGAAAATGCCTTTAAAATTTACCTACTTTCTCTTTTTACTTAGTGTTTTAAAATATGGTATATCCATATAATGGTATGGATAAACAAAATGGACCAGTTGAAGGATATTGAGGTTTTTTCTACCTTTTAGCTACTATACCTAATGTCATTATGAACATTCATGTACAAATTTGTTTGGATATATGTTTTCATTGCCTTTGCATATATACATATAGGTATAATTGCTGGATCGTCTGGTAACTCTATGTTTAACCCTTTGAGGAATTGCCCAACATTTAGCAAAGGGGACACACCATTTTACATTCCCACCAGTAGTGTATGAGAGTTCTAATTTCTCCACATCCTCACCAACACTTGTTATAATCTGTCTTATCTATTATACTCATCATAGTACTGTGACACGGTATCTCACTGTGGTTTTGATGTGCATTTCCCTGATAGGGAATGATACTGAGCATATCTGCATGTGCTTACTGGCCATTTATATAAGGATATTAATGTCAACTACAAGATTCATCAAATATTTTATGGGTGTGGTACAGGCAAATTTTCATCAACATCCATTACCTAACATGAACTTCCCTAGGTCATACCTGCTGCCTCTTTTCTGTGTAACTGTGTCAGGCAAGAGGCAATCTTAAACCTTTCTTCTCTTCTGGAAGAAATGCATATAACCTCTTCTTTTTAAGGACTTACGTGATCACAAGGAAATGAGTCTTCTTTTCCAGAATGGAAGCCAACTTTTAGTCAAACATGCTTGTAAGTAAGACTGAAGGATAAAGGAAAAATGCTTCAAAACAAATGTTTTTCCTTTCACTGATCTTGATCTTCTTATGCTTGAGCTCCTGGGGAGAAAGAAAACTTAGAAATTATCTTTGGGCTAACAAATTGGCTAGTTGGTTTTCTTATAACACATATTTGAGACTTAACTGTTTTGACCACTTGTGAAACATCTAGATAAACTACAGCTCTTAAGCAGCGGTGGTGATTTTGCACATTCTAACATCATACAAATTGATGTTATAGCAATTCCGCTGTAAGTTTTGAAATTTTCCTCAAAAGGATGCAACCTGTGGGCACCCAAGCGACTTGGTAGGTTTAGTGTCTGACTCTTAATTTCAGCTCAGATGATGATTGCACAGTCGTAAGATTGGGACTCGCGGTGGGCTCTGCACTGAACCTGGAGCCTCCTTAGGATTCTCTCCCTCCCTCTTCCCCTGACCCTCCCCAGAGAATGTGGACTTTGAAGCCTCAAATTTCTCATATTGATATTTAGAACCATATGGTTCTTTATTACAGCAGTAAAAATTTTAAAGTGATTTCCTAGTAAACATCAAAAACAATTTAGTTATTGTTGTTATAAAACTTCTTCCACCTCCATGCCTTCGGTTGGGTAACAGGGTTTTCTTTTCATCGTTCTAGAAATGTGAGGCTGATTCTCTACCCAGCAGCCTTCTGCCACTCTCACACTACCGCTACCACGAGGAGGCATGGCTCTTCCTCAAGGTCGGTCCATGTCATGTCTCACAAACACTCTTTTGTGTCCACTGGGTCTTAGGGGCCAGGGATTGACCTCATTTTT